GTTCGATAGCAAAAGTGTTAGCGTCATGCCAATTCACGTCCCAGATAAAATGCACACGGATTAGCATAGAAGTGACTAGAACGCGCATGTGCTAAATACCCTGCTTTGTCCAAGTCAAACAAAACGAGTATTACAAATAGTTACGTAAGGCTGCACATGTGCAACGATGCTTTTAGACGCACATGTTCGTACAACGTCGAAGAACCGGAATAAGGATTCTTCTCTCGATGCTCTGAGTCCACGAATTAATAAAATAAAAGTTCACTTGCGTATATACAGCAGCGTAGAATAAACGTAAAATCCTTCGTCAAATAATGTGTCTATTAATAGACAGTCTATCTGTACCTGAGCGTTTAAATATGTATCTTCATGAAGGTAAATTGACTCTGATTTTTAATACTGAATCAAGCAATTTCAATTCTGTTTACAAATGTCCTAATTCCAAGCTTGAATATACATTAGCTGAATGCGAAGATGATTTGCACGATGCAAATTCTATGCATAAATGAATGTATAGAGGGTAGAAAAAGCTTCGAAAAATACTTAGCTACACTCTAATCGACTATATGTACATGTACATATGTATGTATAATGTAAGACCGTATAGCTTCTAGTTCTTATCATCAAACTATTTATAATTCCGAGTACGAATACTCCAATTCCAGTTATAGGCGGCTTTACTAGAAGCGTAATTTGCACGACACAAATTCTACGCGCGACTAAAATAAAAAGAGCGTGCGAAGGATAATTCAGAAATGTCTACTAATTTCTTCTCTCTAATTGCCAAACTTTCCGAACGCGATTACTTGCCAAAAGGAACAATACCGTCGTTACCTAAAATTCGTAAATACGTACAAAACTGCGCTCTAGATTCGCGTAAAACCTTCTTTACGAAAACGAAGCTCGTTTTATGGCAAAGACGATCGAGAAGAGCGTGGAAGGCGTCGATGAACTTTCACCCGTTTCGACGAGTCACGTAACAGATCGAATCGTTCTCCGTTCGTTACCATGGCACATGTCAAAAGCGACGCACTCAATCAAGACGAAGAGAATAAGTACGCGACTGTACACGAGGTTTAATAACTCTCTTTGCTAGAGGGACGCTTAAAGCACGTGTATACAGTATGATATATACGTTAATGGCAGCCTGATGCTTGGGTGATCGTTGGAGGATTATCAGAGATAACTTGGTATTTGCAGCGCTAATTGCACGCACTTAGGGATCGTGCACGCTTCGGGATATAACTGGCCAGCAAAGAGAAGAGAACAGAAGAAGCAATATATAGTTGAGAGGGTTTGTTGCGATGCCAACAGGTATCCTTATATGTATCGACAGAAAAGCCGCGGATCTTGATAAGTTACGAGACGAGGACCGACTGTTTGCCGGCTGCATCGTAAATATCGCATCTGTCATTGGATTTAAAGGAACTTTGCGACGTGTCAATTCGCGAGAGAGCGAGGAAATCGTAAATAATCGATGCTTCGAACAACTATGGTAATCGTCGAAACGTGGCAATATCGGCCAATTTTTCGAGCGATAGAAAATCGGTTCAACACGTTCACGACACCCGTATTCGGCTGTCAGCAAGGTTTCTGGTCAGGCCACGTAACCCATAATCGGGTTTCGCTTGTTTGACTACTTGCGAAGGATCGTCGTAGGTATTTGAAAAGATATTCCATGATAATAAATTGTTAATTAATAATAATAGTAATAATAGTTGAATTGTTATAAGATAAAAATACGAAAATGGTTTATTACAAATATTATTTAGAATGTAAAACTTTAAAGCATTCTATACATAGCTGAGGCTGGATAATTTGGACAATAAGTTGAAGATTCAACTTGACGCGCGAGTTTCTCTTTGGTCCGCTAGGAAATTTACTAGTAAGCGAATTTTTGTTAGAAGTATACCGAATCGAAGGGGCGGCTCCACTTTTCAGTACCTTGAGAAAAGCAACAAAAACGAAACTCATAGACAATTAATATTTGTCGCGATAAACTAAGATGTGGTATACTTTAATATAAGCTACACGTCAATTTGTAGATTGTAGTCAATTTGTAGTATTCATAAAGACGAATGGCTAAAATGAACTTCATTTTATAATTCTAATTTATAACATCATTTCATAATTCTAATTTATAACATCATTTTATAATTCTGATTTATAACATCATTTTATAATTCTAATTGTAATACACAGTTGGGTGCTTTCTGATGTAAAATCTCTCTGAAAATATTCGTGAACATTTGTCGCTGTGTGTTTAAGGAATTGGCACGTTTGAATGGAGACGTGACGAATCTATCGATCGCATGGGTGCGAACACTCTTCTCGATTCCTTTTTTAGTTGAAGTATTTATTTTATGACGGTGCATCGTGTCATATAGGATATTAAATTGCATCAATTCTTTTCTTTAGATATATAAATAAAATTGTCCCTATGCAACGTAATACGATTGTCATCAAATATTTAATTGGCCTTATATCCTCGATAGTTCACCAAGTGACTGTCGTTCAACCAGATAATCTCGTATCTATTTAGCACAGTGTATTTTGCGCCTATCTTTTCTAAATTAACCATCGCACTTCATATTTCATATTTTCAAGCAATTAATCTATTCGACAGGATGTACCATATTTGAAAGACGAAACAAACGCTGTGTGTATAATAGTCAATTCGCGCGTTAGAATGTTTTGCATTTTGCATTTAGTTTGCAACGCAAGAGGCGTTGTCTTGGGCGTCGCTTGCAAAATTCTCCGTTTCCATTATTTAATATCTATCGTTACAGAACTAATCTTTTCCTCTTTTATGCATATCAGCAAATGAATCTACGTTTGAAAAAATAAATAAAAAACTGATAGCTCGTACCCTAACAAACGAAATGAACTTATTCGCGTGCGTTGTTTCGAAAAGATTTTATGTCAAATAAAAGCTTGTCCGGAGAAACAAATAAAGAAATAAATAAACTATCAACATACGCTTTAACAAACTGGATAAACCTGTCCACTGGCTCGTTTTCAAATAATTTCACGAATGTGTTGTTTTATATTACGTCGAGAATGAATTGAAAAAAATCTGGAGGTCGCGATCGGTAACGTTTGATCCAGGCAGTAGCGACAAAAGGCAACATGTGTTATCGTCGTACGTATTTCCACGTAACCGAAGTCCACTTGTTTCCACGAGCACGAGATTATGCGCGTGCGGAATGTAAGCAGCGATCGGATCGCTCGTAAACACGAAGAAATAGCGGAACGCGATATGTAAATTGTAGACGGCGGTGTAGGTGTAGTTTGAGCAACCGATAAAAAGCGTCGAGTTGGATCACCATTTAAATTCGAAAGAAATTATCATTTCCTACAAATCGGTGTTCTCTAGTCGAGCTAAAGAGTATACGAAAACTTGTTTCCTATATAGAGAGTATAGAAACGCATCGATCTACAATTATATCAGAAAGAACTTCGTATAATAATATTTCAAATTGAATCAAACAAAAATTAAATAAAAAAATTAGTCGAATACTGTAAACAACATTGGATTGTCATTCTAAAAATAATAGCAATTATTATTTTTCCAAACGTTAGATGTCAGAAATTAAAGAATTGATCCTCGTGTATGTCCTATTAATTCCATCGATGTCAATTTAATCGTACACTGCGTCTCATAAGTATGAAACCGTCTAAATTTCGTCTATTTTACTTCACATACTTCCAATTAAATCTTGTCTAGACTAGTTTCATGATTACGAGACGCAGTGTATAATACGAAACATTGCGTTTTCTATTGATTTAACGTAGACACGTCATAGTTCACCGCTATCAGAATTTTATCGCGGATTTACGACTTGGAGATCGTGGCCCAGGTTATTGACTTCGTTGTTGTGGCACGTAAAACGTGTATACGGCGCGCATGAAATAATTATTCTTAATAAACTAATATATTGACGCAATCTATACGTGCAAGACGCTTTAATGAATGCATCGTCGAACCCTGTGCGCTTCGAATCGCTGGTGAATACGATCAATGGATAACGAGTGGACGTTCAATAACCAGGCAAATCAATTAATCGTACATCGAACATCCTCTTAGTACGTGTTTATCTTCCGTTGTTCTGTTTTTGCATCGATTAATTACCTACTAATTGCCAGTTTCACTCTGTACTAAATTTATATCGTCTACACGGGAGTTACGAGACGCTATACGATGAATTTTAATATGTCCCACGCTGATTCGCGGCATTGTCCTTCGAATATCGTTTACTTTACTAATTATCAACGACAGACAGAAAGTCACCTACGCGATTTCGAGATCGAGCTTCTGATTCGTGGCGCCTGACAGATCGCAATTGGCACCTCTATACCACGATCTTGTAATAAAACGATGAATCGTGGGACGCGGATCGAATTTTCATTTATGAATTTTGTTGTAACGATAAAGTGTAACGTACGTACATGTATATACGACAAGTGATAAAAGTAATCGTATTATCCAAAGTAATCGACTTCGCTTTCTGTAAATTTCGGGATTTCGTTACATAGGTACATGATTAATTCAATTTTGAAGAAACCAACGAGTTATTTCCATAAGCTAAGCTTTATCGTAAAAAGATCGTGTAAATAATAGTAAACTCTAAGGAAGAATTTAAAAAATCCTCTTTGTAATACGACAACGTTTCTCTACTTTTCATTTTATAGGATTGTGACTTTTGAATGAATTCTAAAATCCTATCGATAGATATAGAAATAATATAAAATATCCTTTCCCTTTTAGATATTTCCCTCAATTCTCGTTTATCCATGTACGTACATATATATAAAAAGGAATACGAGGCGCTTGCAAATCGTTCAAGGAATGCCATCCCACGGTAAAAGCTGTGTATCCTACATCGTTAAAAATCACAAATATCCTAAAGAGAATGATGAAAGAAAATCAGTTACAAATATCGTTTATCGCTCTCTATAGATCGAGCAATCTATCGATAAACGCAATTGCATGGCGGAATTTCGTTACCGGTTTTTCGGTACGATGTCACGAAGGTTTGCAGTGGGACAGCGCTTGTCGAACGCTTTTTGCGCGGCTCGAAAATCGACTCACCGACCTGTCAATCGTCCGCGTCCTCGACGTGTATCCCCGTCGTCATCCTGGATCGATCGATCCACGCGATCGTGGTTGCGCACCGGGAGCGGGAAAATGTCGAGGTGTACACGATCGAGACAAATCCACGCGCTGGTCCCCGTACAGACTCGAAGAGGTGACTGGGAGATTCTGAGGACCGACGGTTCTGGTTCACGACTGGTTCTTCTCCTTCTCCTTCGGCCTCTGGCCCCTTCCATTACTCGCTATAGCACCAAGCAAAGAGAGACACGCGTATAGTCGTATTGCGAACGTTAGACGAGGTCGGATAAAACGCGTGTTCGAAATAGAAAAAAGAAAAAAAAAAAAGAGAAGAGAGGGAGAGAAAGAGAGACCGCGGATGCTAGAGAGATCCAGCAGAGACGGCAGCAACGGCAGGTTGCTCCTTTCGAAGAGAACCTTCGGAGAGACGGGGTGAAGCCCTGGTTGGTAGGCCCCACCGGGCGAAAAGAAGTCGATCAGGTAAGGGTCAGGGACGCATTCGCAATTTCTGCCTCGGTCGCCAGATGCTCGATCATTCTGTGTCGTTGGAATCAACCAGCTTTTTTCCCATACACACTGCGCGGTAGGAAGAAGAAGATGTACGGACGTTGATTTAACGACGTTCGTTAATATCTTACTAATTATGAAATACGAGAATATACGGATAGCATAGTAGACAGTTGCGTGAGTATTTTGATCGTACGTTGATAAGAGGCGAGGAACTACTTTTACAAAAGAGGAAGTCAGAGCGAAGATCGCACAATCACCGTACAAATAGCACATCGACGAGTTTTCATCTGGTTTTATGTAATCGCTGGTAAGCGCGATATGAGATCACACAGCCGAGTAATAATCGGCGATGCTTTCACGCCGATCGTTTTACGATTATTACTAGCTACCTCGATTTACCCTGATGAAGGTAAATACAGAGCGGGAAAGGAAGCGTCTCGAGAGAGCGATACGACCTTATATACGTTCGTAAGAGCGATTCGAAGAAAACGAGGGATAATCTTCTGACGAAGCGACGGCGAATGTATTTTTACCTGCGCCCGGTTCCACCGCAAACTCGGGCAGGGAGTTCGCTCGTTTTCCTTTGAACGCTAACCGAAAGCAGGAAGAACGTGACAGGGAAGAAACAAATGACGTCACGGGGTACTATCTCGAAGAAACCGGCTATTCAGTTAGCAAATCTTCGGCCCTGAATAGGACCGTTCAGGGTCTATACCCCACCGAGTTAGTCCGGTTTGGGCGCAGATTAGTCCGCGAACGTTTGTAGCTTCGTTCCAGGTAGAGGAGATCCGACCGATAAACTTGACGCTATGGCCCAAAAACGAGCACGAATACGGGAAACGTTTTATTTTTTGATTACATCAGGAATCGTCTTTCTCGACGAAGGTCCGAAGAAGCACGTCTCGTAACAATATGCACCGAGTAACTAGCCTCGACCGGTCGGCCAGGGTTAAAACGACGCGCATTGTTCTTTCGAAACACGGTGTCTCGTTACTCGCGGTGCTCGTGTGGTTGAGCTACAAAGGGCTTAAAGTTGTTCTTGTTGGTAGATCTTTATACGTAAAACGAAGAATATTACAAAAATAGCAAAACCGATTTCAAACACTGGCAAGAAGTTACTCTATCGATCATAGGGATGAAGGTATCTGTAAGTATTATATATACGCGTGATAACGTATCTCTTGGAATTTGGAAAGAAATCGATCCATTTTCGCTCTCTGTCTCTGCTGTTTGTCTCTCTCTCTCTCTCTCTCTCTCTCTCTTCCTTCCCTGGGAACCCTATTTGCGTCACCCTACCAGTCGAGGGGTTAACGAGCCAAGCTCCGTAATAACGTAACGTCTTACCAAGAGCAAGGCGTGTTTGCCTTGAGAATGACGCGATGCTTCGCTCGCGATGGACATACGTATACCGACATCCTTAAATTCTAGTCACGTCGTACACAGTTGCGTTCGGAATCAGATGAAACTGATAACCGGTACACCGCGCTGACTTTGCGGTGATTTGTTTCGCCGGATTCCAGGGCCAAAGTCAACAATAACCAATGGAGACTTGACGTCGGCTCGAGCAGTGGCAATGACCCCGAGAATCGCGCGAATCCCTCGATCGGGTCCAGCTGCTGCTTCTGCTGCTAGTTTAGTCGACAAATAGATCTCGTGCTTTTCCACCTCGCGTGCGCTCTATGCATTTTCGAGCGGGATGAGTCAGTCTTCCACTCGAAGTTCTACCGGTCACTCTTCTATTTTAATAATTGCCGCAGCGGTCCACCTCTAATTTTACCTCGACAAGAGGTCTGGTAGCGAGACGGTGCAGCGAAGCTACGAGCGCGAGCCGCCCTGTTCGCGCTTCGTTAACGCGACCGCTTTTGTTACGATCGAGCGGAGCTCCAGCTGAAAACACGCAGAACAGTGGAGCGGGGTGAATTAACCATGTCGTGCGATTTCATCCGTCTGACACATTCTGTTGCGCGTTCCACCAGCTCCAAATCGAGCCACGGCGAATTAAACGGTCTGCTTCTCCTTACCTAACTTCATCAGCCGCTTCCAAATAAATGGAATCTGGCTTCTGCGGACTGTCTGATGTTGTAAGTATATGTAAAGAGATGTTCCTCGATGCGCGAAGCCTAGTTTAAAATAAAAGAGAAAAAGAAATGAGAATGGCGAGATTCGTTGGCAGATCTCTGAGAAATAATTTTCCAGTTAATTAGGAGAAATACACGACTTACTTTTATATGTATATGTTGCAATTATACGAACTGTCTGTAATTTAGAGACCAATGTTACAACACGGTGCGAATAATACTTTGGAAAAGTATAATCTCGAAGAATCTGTTGCCTTGATGCTCAAACAAAAATAAATGGTGCAAGATAGCAATTACGTTTTAAGATCTCCGGGATGACTAATGGCGAGGAATGGCTGCGATGAGATAGAAATCGGTTGTCGAGTAATAGGGCTTTAAATGCCGGAATTAAATCGTAGCGGAATAAACACCGAACAATATCGAATCGCTTTTTCCATTTCTCTCGATTCTTGCTACCTTCACTTTGCCTGTGTAACATATTATCCATAAACGTCCTTGTTGTATTATGCGTGCTAACTTGAATTTATCGTCGTACGTGCGTTGTTTGCAAAGGAATAGTATTTTTGTCGCGACAATGCTAAAGGAAGAAAAACAACTTACGTTCAACAACGTACGCTCGAGATAAAAACATAAATTTGAAAAATGGATATGTACGTAAAACGATGAATACAGAAAATATCCTGACAGAGTTGTACGAAGTTTGGAAGATTAAGAAAACGACTGTTCAAATATTCTTCCGCGATTCCATGTAATAATATGTATATGTAATATAAGAAAAAATAATGAAATAAAAAAGATTTGTAACTGAAAACAATTTTCACCTGTTCTATCGTAAAAATGTTGTCGTCGAACAGTTCTTAGACGTAGCTATTAAGTTCAAGACCGCCCAAACTTTGTAGACATCGTTAGCGGAATCGCGCAGGCTTGATAAGGATCGTTCTCGATCGAGATCGATGCGAATCGATCACGTTCCGCGCGCACGCTTCCCATGCTGCTCTTTGCTCGATAACCAATGGAAAAAATCTGGAATTCCCAGTGGGTGGACCAGTTCTTCGTTCTCCAAGATATCCGAGCGTGGCGTCCTTTCACGTTGTACACGTGAAACTCGTTCGTTCTGTGAACGTCTATAGTCTACACAGAATCCTATCGTACTTTTATCGATCGATCTATCGCTCTAAATAAAGATATTCTAGAAATCATTATACACGTACGATGAGATATAATAATTATTCAATCTTCCAATATTTTATAGTGTTCCAGTTTTTCCATTATTTCTTTGTAATAAATTACCTTTTGCTGTGAATTATGTAGGACGTAAATTACTTCGTACAAAAAGAAAAAAAGAACAAATAATTTCAATGTAAAACGATTTCAATCGAGCTAATTATTTTAATTATTAATTATAGAAATATTTGAAATTCTGAATTATACATTGTTTCACTCGTTCAATAAACGATAAAATATTTTATTGCAAATTATTTCCTCGCTTCAGATTCACTGACAGAGAAACACGTCGTTCTATCATTTAAAATTCTTTTATTTCCGAAGCTTTGTATGCACATATAACGATCAACGATGTAACAATACCGTCTCTGCTGATCGCAATCAAAAAGACTCTCTCTTCTTCTCCAAACTTTCTCTTTCTTTCTCTCTCGCTTAAGCGTACACGCGTTCACATTCTCTCCCTCTCTCGTTTTTTTTAAATAAAATCCAATCAACCAATCCCTCAACTTCTTCGTTTTATATTTAATAAATTCTCGCGTGATTTCAAAGTGAACAATCCATTTAGCCATCTTCTCCGCTGTAAAGATACACCGGCCACTCGTTACACACTTGATTTTGTAATCGACCAATGAGTCTCGTTATGAAAATCGTCGCAGATACCAGTTGCTCGACCAATGGCCGAAGAAGAACGCTCATAATACTGTTTTGGTTTCGCCTTCGAATAAAAAACACCGAATCACGCATGTCACGTTTTTTTTTTTTTTCACGAACGACACACATATTATTGGATATTCCTACGACGTCATTGGAAGAGAAAATTCCTTAAAAAATTTATTGACGTCAAACAAGGAGACGATTCCTAGTAAATTACGTGAAATTTTATTCATTCGTTATTTCTTAGTTTCTCCTTTGACCGTAGTTTCTTTCTTCTTTAGACAGAGGATGTAAGGAAATCGTCTTTTTTTTTACATCTTTTTATTTAGTCTGAATTTTTGTAGCTCTGTTTCTTCATATAGAGTTAAAGATGGAAACCGTACAGGAGAATAGCGAAGTTCCTTTGGAAAGTAAAATTCGTTCCCTAGGAGCGAAGGTTCGATAAATTTTAATCTAAGAATTATTGTTGTCGTATTTTAACGTTTCTTCATTTTCCGTATATACTGACGAGCAGCAGTCAACACTGTAATTATCTATACACTATTTTAATTAATATTCCCTGCAGACGTTTCGACAGATATCTTCCAAAAGTAAAAAACTTCAGATCAAACATCGCCTATGATACGAGTTACAGTGAGAAGAATACGTATGGATTATATTACGAGTTCTAACTATGAGTCTTTACTCGTCAGTCTACACGTAGTTCTCATGCAAAGACTCTATTATAAGTAGTCTAGTCAGCTTTCCAAACTCTCGGAAACGAGCGATGGAATATGTGCGATCACACGATACAGTGTGACCTATAAAAATCTATGTCTTTCTCGAGCATGCGTTTAAAGCACCAGTTCGATGACGATTACGAAGGAAGCCACTAAAAGAACGTTGAGAACGGTCCTTAATTTTTCTCTCTTTTTTATCGTTTTACAATCGTCAAAACGTGTCCACCTTTATCGAAGAATGGAAGAAACTCTAGCCTGAATTATTTATTATTACACAGAAGTGTCGTTTATAGATTACAAACATGCTAGATACCTGAGAAAAACGTGATCACGAACGTGCGTCGATCGATAATCGTTTAACATTATACTTCCCTCCATTTTATTATACAAATCTCTGTGTACATCGTAAAGAATGCCAACGTCTTCGTTGCTAGTCGACGATACATCGCTACGTTCTCACGATAAAAATATTATATCGAAAATTTCGATGATATTCTTATGGGATAGAGGAGCGGTGTGATCGTACAAAAGTAAACGGTCGAAGAGAACATCGAGTACGGAATTTGTTTCTCGTCGAACGAGTCTATGGAAATCGTACAATTAGTATCGATCTACGTGTATGTACTTATATTCTCCTTTTTCAAGATTAGATTAGTCTCTTGTCAGTTGTCATCTTTTTTCTTTTCTTTTTCCCATTTGTCATCGATAAATTGTACAACTACCTTCGCGTTACGAACGTAGTAATAATAGATTAGACGAGTAAACGCGACAATGCTTTATTACTCTGTACCTGATGCATCTATGATTAATCAATATCGAATCGAAGACGATGGTAATATAATGACACAGTAGAACTTCATTCACTAGAATGAAATTTTAGTTGGCTCAATTAACTCGGATACATTATTATTTCAAAAGATACATTTCATTTTCACATTATCCGAATTTGTAGTTGTACTACCAAAATGATACGAAATTTAATGTACCTGACCTAATTAATTCGTTAATATACAGGGTGGTTGGTAACCGGTGGTACAAGCGGAAAGGGGGTGATTCTACGCGAAAAAAGAAGTCGAAAATATAGAATAAAAAATATACAATAAAAATTTATAGAATAGAAAAAAAACGTCAATCGAGACAACGATCTACAGTGAGATCCGTTATAACGAGGCGTGGTAAAGTGCGCGCGTACCGAACGAAAATTCAAAGTCGATTTTCTCGAAAACAGAGCCTCGAAGGAAAAATTTGTATTCTATATTTTCGACTTCTTTTTTCGCGTAGAATCACAAGGGGGGTGATTCTACGAAAAAAAAGAAGTCGAAAATATAGAATAAAAAATATACAATAAAAATTTATAGAATAGAAAAAAAACGTCAATCGAGACAACGATCTACAGTGAGATCCGTTATAACGAGGCGTGGTAAAGTGCGCGCGTACCGAACGAAAATTCAAAGTCGATTTTCTCGAAAACAGAGCCTCGAAGGAAAAATTTGTATTCTATATTTTCGACTTCTTTTTTCGCGTAGAATCACCCCCTTTCCGCTTGTACCACCAGTTACCAACCACCCTGTATAAATATCATAATAGACACAGTGGTGTGTAAAAATTTGTAGCTACTGTAGGTAGTTAGAAGACGTAATGAATTCTTTTAATATTATTTGTTTCGTAATGGAACCATCATAAATGAAATTCTACTGTATTTATGTTTCATATTTTTCATTCGGTGTAAGCTACCGAGTATGTAGAAGTATTTACATGAAAGCGTTATATCGTGTTTTTCCTTTTAAGTATCCAAGTGTGTACCTAATTGATGGATAAAAAAATATTATTATTAAATATCGAGAATGCACAATGATTCGCGTCATCGACGACGCACCTAACTGCGAACGCGGCGCCTATCTTCTACTATCGAATGCAGATCGTATTGTACAAAGTCAGTCGCTGCTCGTGAATAACAAACGACAGTGTCATCGATGATTTATGCCACGTTACAACGTTATACACGTATACGTTTACGAAGCTAGCCTTCAAAACGTAAACGTATCTTTCTTTCCACATTCTCCTCTTATATCCCTAACGTGCTCAAGAGGAGGAAGTGTCGGAGGAACGCGTGTACTGTCCAATTTCAAAAGGTAGCCGACACACTATTTTAAGTATACTTTCTAATTTTACGTTCCAGCGTATCTCTTCTTTCTTTCTTCGTAGGAAAACCTGCATACCAGAAGATAATTGCTTTTAAAATAAAGCGTACAACGTTACCACGTGGGGAAAGAAAACCTCTATTATCATCTGTGACGAGGCGTCGTCCTAGATAATTGAAAGATTCGAAGGAAAAGTGTTACGAGCGACGCGATTCCGAAGTCTCTTAATCCATAGGCCACGGAAAGTAGTACGAGCGACAAAACCTCTAATTTTTACGAATCACGACCTTTACTTTACCTCTTAACCCAAGCGAACCGAGAATTTTATAAGCATCAACATTTTTGTCAATTGTGAAAATTCTTGAAACAGAGAGATGTATATTATTAGATGAAATTGTCATAGTAAAGTAATTTTTGTATAACACGGTGATTTAATGTTAATACGTTAGATCATCAAGTACTCGCTCGGTGATGGTATAGTAAGCACACAAATGTCTATGTTTGATTTTCGAATGTCCGAGTCTGATTTAAGAATGTTTAGATAAAGTTTTGTGTGGAAAAAATAAAAAAGCATCCGTATCGCTTTTCCAGTAAATCCTTCAATCGTTCTATGTTGGAACGACGAACGCTTTATTTAACGAGATCCATGCTCGTAGAATGTTTCATCGGCGGGAACGACGATCGCATTTCGATCCCCACTGCGTCAGTTGTCTTTATTTTCTATCCTAAATACGATTAATTGCGTCGACCACGTGTGATAAAGGAACGTGGCGTTCACGTTTCTTGCCTAACTTTCAATCGAATGGCGAATTACGGTTAATGAACACGCGAATCAAAGCGAATTGAACATAGTTTCGGAATCGCGATAACATTTAGGGAACTCTTGTCACGAGCAGGCTTTCCAATCAACCGATTTAACTGCACGCTTGGAATTCGATTTTCATGCATACTGGGAAACCCACTGCGGTTCGCAGCTCCACGAGGGCATGTTTTTCTAGGAAAATGCCACGCGATTCACAGGGAGATCGCGTCGATCAATTTCGATAGCGTATTAGACTTGTAGATTACAGTAGAAAAAGCGTAAGATCCACTATGAATAACAATATATCGTACATGTGTTTCAAAGGTGTCACAGTCCAAAAATATTCAACCCTGTGTTGGAAGAAAGAAAATTGTCAAAGGGGCATTTTCAGAGCTAAAAATGAAAGAGTTTGTACTTTATGCGACGTTGTGCCTTCGGTCGAACAATGTTTTGTAAGCTTTTAAATAGTTTCTTGCTTTCCCTGAAAAATTTGTTCGACCTGTGTCACTTCTGAAATATATGCGTGATATATTAACACATTAAGGATCGAGTGGCGACATAACGATTTAATGTTACGTAAACGCAATGTTACTAAGAATGTTTAGCTAAAGTAATTAACATATCGATCTTTCAAAGTGCGAAAGACGTATTAGAGTAATAAATAAAACTAACGACGAAGTATTTTAAATTCAACGAAGAAAAAGAAAGATGGCTCAAAGAAAATGACAAAACTTTAATTCTGTTTAGTTTCGAAATGATAGAATACTTTAACTAAGGCGGATTTAAACTTGAGAAGATCGCACGATCTGGATAGAAGAAAAATTATTAAGCAAATCCTTCGAAGTCTCTTTCGTAACTACAATGTTAACAAATAGCAGAATTTTCTAAAATTAATTGAAAATGTTGCGACACGAACGCGATTTCGATCCTTAATGAATTAACCAATTAATTACGATAAGTATGAAATTGAAGCGTAACGGCGCTCGATAATCTTCCTCCTCTCAATCGCTACTACTTTTCTATTCTCATTTTTCTAAATGATATGTGAGACGAATACAAGCGACGCGCACGAATTTTTGTACCATCGTTTCTACACCTTTCACGTGATCGCCTAATCTCTGTATGATAAAAAGATCGATGGAAATATACGCGAGAAGAAAATGGCTGGAGGATGAAGACGGACTGAATGAACAAAATCAAGTATACAAATAAATATAAAACGTATATTTAAATTAAATGCCACAAAGTATTTTGTTGTATGTTCTTGCGTCACGAAGTCGGAGTTGTTCTAATTTTCACCTTATCCGTTTTTCTTTGTCTCTTCGTTTTCTTTAGTTCTCTTCTCCTCCGCGTGAAATTACAGTGCTCTGAGACGACGAGCGAACGTATATTAACGCACGCGTCGTTTTGTACACGGAACAAAGAAAAAAAGCAGAATCATAGTTCTGACGCTCCTGAACGTACACAGGGTGATTCGGAACAGGTCATGCAAAACAGTTCGAATCTACCGTATAATTCTTTTTCTCTCTCTCTCTCTCTCTCTCTCTCCCTCTCTCTCATTCTTTCTCTCGCACTCTTCCTTCCATTTTCATTTCTTCTTTTCCTAAACTATAAATTAAAAGAGACGAAAATTCGCAACAATATCCTAAGCCGACTAAAAATTTCATTTTTATTTCTTTTCTATTCGTAAATCGGTCAATTTCTTTTAAACATGCCGCAAACGTACAATTCATCTCTTCCTTCGTTTTAAGCGTACTCAGTCTTATGCGAGCCACGAAATGTCTGGTGCACCGCAGTTTCACGCGGATTCCTTTAAATTTCTACTGAAATCTGACGAGCGAAACGAACATACTAGACGCGTGTTCCACACTGTCCGGAAGGTTCGATTTCATCGGAACGAAAGAGGAAAGAGCAAGAAAAAAGAACTTAATTAAATCGTCCAACGATCGATCGAACGTAGTAAAGTCTTCTGTTTCTATATCGTCGAGGAAGAAAAGCAATAATAAAAGTGATACGACATATGGAACGTTCCAATTAAAAAAAATAAAAAAAAAAAAAAAAAAAAAAAAAAAAAAAAAGAGAAAGAAAGATGAATTACATATTTCTCGTAGATTTTAAACAATGTACGAGAAGTTCGATTGTTAAATGATGCGCAGTGAGTAACAGCACCGAGATAGAAAAATCCTCTGACACTTTTTAGCCGTGTGTTCAAACTCGCCGGAAATCGAGCAAATTGTTCGTACGAGACGAAAGTGTTCCTCACGAACGTGTACAACACGTCTCTTAACCTTTATATTACGGTAATAATGAAATTAATATTATTGCTGTGCATTCTCTTAATCATGGACTATGTATTATTGCTTTACGAGTTTTCTTTTTTCTTTTCATCGTCTTAGAAAAATCGAATTTCATTCGAACGATCGCCAACCACACTTTCCAACGATCGTGATCAGAATTTCTTCTACTTTGTAGAAAATCTTAGAGATCGTGTCTGATGAATAGCATTATTTTTTTTTTTTTTTGTTTTCTCTCCGTTTCTTTCTCGACATGTAACACTGTTTTAACAAGGGTTGTTGCCGTTGATTACCGACTTTCATTTCTTTTGAAGAAAAGTGCTGTTGCTCGGGTCAATCGTGTTTATAACCTCGGACCGCTCGAAACTTACTCGAAGCTCGCGCGAAATAACATCGATCGATGAACACTAACGTGTGGTACGTAGTTGGTAGTAGTAATAGTCTAAAAAAGATCATACATATTTCGCGCATGCACGCAGCATTTCGTGCGCCACAAACATGCACAGGGCACTTGTTATGTACAGGAGATAATTACACGCTATACGTACACGTGTATCGTTAAATATACGATCTACGTTAAGTTACTTATCTTCTTTTGTTCTCGAATTATACAGCGTTTAAGGTACACTCGGAAACGAGCGGACTAACAGCATTTCGACGTTTGCGATTTTTCACTAACATTCTTCTCTTCAACTTGTCAATAGAATTATTTTTATATTATAGATTTATATATGTATATATATAATATATACCTATATAGATTTCATTGATACCATAGGTACATGGGTAATTGCTTACGCGATTTATGTACAAATTATCACGGTTTCAGGTAGCCGAGAAGATCAGTAAATCGACGATTAGAAACGATTTGGTCATGTCGGTCCGTTCACGAGTTTTCCTCTCGTCCTCGTATTTGTCCGATATCGAACGATAATTTATTGCTAATAGTATTTCTTTTCTTTTCTTAAATTCTCTATTTTTCTTTTTTACATCGAACGATCGATCGATGAATCTCGCCCGAGAATATATTTTTCACAGAAACCCACGCTAATCGCTACTATGATCGCTAATGAATCCTTAAGGCGAAGTTTATGGCTAGAATCGTAAGGCGATGTTCGTTTATATGGTCGATGAGAAAGTGTATACCTTGCACACAACGAGCTGCTCCATCGATCGATCGTTGTCCAAGTTCGATTTACATAAAACGAACGGGACAATACCAGACCGACATGTCCCCACGTGTTCTCTTCTTCGAATAATAGCAGTAATAATAACATCGTTAGCATTTGTATTATTTATACTGCGCGGTAACGAAAAAAATCAACGTCTCTTCGTCGGCTCGACATGACGTACATCTACGTCATATTCCCCCCTATTTGCTATATTAATTTTCTCCCTATCTCCCGTTTTCCCATTTGCTCTATCTATTCGTCGTCTTATATACTCCCTCTCCTTTATTTACTTTCTTCCGTTCTTTCTTTTCCCCGTTTCTCGCTACATTCGTCGATGAAACGAAATAATTTACGAATCAGCTCATACACGTGGAAAAAGCGGAAAAAACTCAACGAGATAAAACCTCGAAACGCTACAAACACGATACACAGAGCGAATTTATTCATCTATAGCGAAAATTGTAGCCGAACTAAGCGCAAACGTTTCATTTTTTTTTTCTTTTCCTTTTTCGCCTAACGTTTCCTCTTCGGAGATCAGCGGCAATCGTTACGTCCTATTTGAAGTACACGAGGGAAAATTATAATAAGTTTGTATTTCCTCATCTTCTGACTTCTAGAAAGAACTATTTTCATACGAAGTAGTTGAAACGCAAGTATTTTGGTATGGTAACCTGAGAGAGTCGAAGATATTTGTGAGAATTGTATAATTAAAACTTATTGATATCTTTCAAACGATCAAGAGTGATAAAGGCACGCGTTTAAGTCCAAAATCAAACGAAAAGATAGCTTGGATGGTAGTGAATTTTGAATAATTGCTCTCCTACAAAAGTCGGGAAACGTGACTTATCATCATTTTCATCCGTGGACTTCACATTCCTTTCTATACCATTCCTAATTTGGCCACCTATCTGTCGTTACTCTTTCATTCACTAACGCATGCGCACGATTTAGAATAATCTTGACTAATCGTTAATTAGTTAAATATCACAATCTATGATAAGAAGTCCGTAAATATATGCATAGATATACGCCACCATACGCGCCATGCTGGAAAAACCGACATAGCGCCACGACGCAAATTAGAACCGACAGTTTTACAAAAATAAATTGTCTCGGGTGGGATAATAGTGAATGGTGGTTGGTGATGAAAGGTTTATCTACTATATTCGGGACAATGTGTACGGCTTTGCTAAAATCATCAGCCATAACTCGACTGAAAGACTCATCGAATCTCCCTTTAAAAATTTCGTACGAGCTTACAAGAAGCTAAAGATTGCCTGAACGAAATTTTCGCTACGTGTGCTGTTGTCGTTGCCTACGATCCAGTGAAAATTCCTTCACCGATTAAACGAAATCCGCACACACGATTTATCCGTCGAATTTTTCTATTTTTTGTAAAAAAAAATAGAAATCGTGGCATTAAACCGAAATCATTGGATAAATGCGTTACACGATGTACACAATTGTGCAATAGAATATACATACGTACGAGAACAGAGCGAAGCAGAGAAGACTAAGAAAAAATAGAATAAAGAGAAGAACAAAAAAGAAGAAAACAAAATAATAAAGAAGATACAAATAAGAAGAGATATAAAGGAAATATTGATGATGGTAGGTAGTGAGGTCGTATATGTATATATGTATATATGTATATACGTAAAAACGTTGAAGAGATCGTGATCGATAAAAAAAATATATATATGTATAAATGTATACTATGATCTATGTATGTACAAGATGAGACCCTCTGTACGCGAACCGCAATTTAATTGGAAAATAAGTCGAAATTCTACGCGCAAGATAGTTCGATGATCGGCCGCTCCGTGTTACGACTAACTACGTTTTACATTTTTTTATTCAACGTATTTACAAGAGGATAGCTAGCCGTAAATGATTATTTGATCCGTCAAATTGATTATTTACAAAAAAATTCTGAGCTGAAATTTTAAATGCCACTCAGCGGCATCTCCTAAAAGAAGAAAAAAGAAGAACAAGAAAAAATTAACAAACACTGCTTATTGAAGCTACTTTTTTAGTAGCTACTCTTTCTACTAAAATCCGTTTGTTAAACTTCCTGTAGAAAGAAAAGAAAGTTTCTTTCTTTTTGTATCTGTTGCTTGGTCACGTAATCCTTTATCCTTTTTACAAGCGCACAAACACACACAGGATAATCGCCTAAAATTCGATGTAGTTTCATTTCACTTATTATCATCGTCGCTTCTCTCCTCACTGAAAACCTCTATTTTTAACAGGCAAACACGGACAGTGTGACTTATTTCAAACGCGTCCGTTTTCACACTGTTTCCTTTTTTTTTTTATTATTTCTTCCTCCTTTCTTTTTTGTTTCGAGCGAACTGCCGCGCCGTCAGGACACAGCGATTAGAATCGAATCTATATATCGGCCTGCTCCGCGAGAGATGTTGCAACGATTTTCGGAACAAAAAAATGAATTTTGTGAAAAAAACCATCATACTCATATGTATTTCAGTCAATGTTCTATAATATCTACCTATTGCCAATTTAATACTTGACGATGAGGCTGGCGTTGCTATTGTTGCATCACTCGGTGATTCGTACGTTCTTCTGTGGAAAGTACAAATATCAAAACAGAAGCATCGTTGCGAGATACGAGATGCTATTTCGTTTTCCATCTGGCCTCTTGAAACAACAGTTCAAAGAAGATAATGATAATGTACCAGGAACGTTAGTCAGCGATTTCGTAAATCCGACGAATCACGTCCGCAATATGTGGTTCTTCCTTAATCAGTCTCTATAGTATCGTAGAAATGGTTGCAAAGTAAGTATCGAAAGACAAGAAAGAAGAAAATTCGATACGTGCTTCTGTTTTCATACGCGGAATCTCGTTTGTTCCAGTTGTACGCGTATATCCCCTAAAGTGATAATGCGATTAACCTGCCTATGAATCTCCGATGATGATGGTTTGTTGTTTCAAAGGAAACGATCGTCGCCTGGCGGAATAGAGACCGACATTGTTGTACAGAGTGAAAGGACCGTAAATTTGTAACTATCGTATGTTCCTGTTCGAGATGTTTCATTTCGGCAGGGAGAACGAAGCATGCAAAAACACATATATCGTTATCATTTCGATTCCACGTATAACCAATTAATTGCTCACGTGTCTTTCTTTCCGTCGTGCGCATGCTCAACACATCGAAGTTCACCGCACATCAAGACTTGTCCCCTTCTCGACAGGCTTCAGACTTAGACCATCAACGACGACGGCGACGAGGACGACCATGAAAAAAAGGATCTCGAAAAAAAGAGGAGGTAGACAAACGCCCATGGCGTACAGTCCTCAGCCTGGAGTGGGTGGGGTCTTATGTCAGTGAATATTAAAGTTGTACTGCTTACGGCTGGACGAAATACGAAGCCACCGACTGACAGCCAGTGGCTCCGGGTGACAGTTCGACCAAGATATATCCCCGAAATGAGGATAAGGCGAGGAAGTGGTCGTAGCCTCAACCTGTATCGCCGTGGACAGGTCCTGTTGATGGTACTCGTGTTTGGTCCTCTTTGACTGTAATTGCGTAACAGGACTCGAATGAGTCACGTGATTCAGTCTCTTTCCATTGATCTGAGTCGCGTGTTGCTGTTCCAACTGTTCGAGCTGTTCGAGTTGATCCATAGATTCGAATAAGAGACTGGGCATAGATGATATAGGAGAGTGGACGATATTGTTTGAACGTGGTATTTCGACCAGCAATTTGGATTTATCTTGGTATACAGGGGAATAGATGGTCATTGCCGCTTCTGGATCGATGTCCATAGGTGTTTCAGCCTCGAGAACCGTCGTGACCAACGGCGGTTGCGTACACGTGGCTGGCAGTGATGCTGGCACCGGTATAGCTGGGGATGCTGTGCTCGGTATCAGCGTGGCGACCGATGACGACGATTCCTCGTTATTAGCCGGTAACGGTGACAGCGATGGCAACACCACGGATATCGGCGCCATCATCGAGCTCGATTGCGTCGAACCGGTCGAGTTCACTAGCGACGATTCCAGACTCCTCAGCTCCTCGTTGACGAAGTCCTCTTCGAGCTTGGTCTAAAAAAGAGAAGCGTTGGCGACTCGCAATAAGAATCGTAGGGCCCATACGAGGTGTTGGCGTTTAAGTGCCCAAAAGAAACCATGCCTTACAGGTTTAGTGGAGCCATGCGGGGCCAGACACCGATAAAGCAAATCAACAGCCTGCAATAACAAAAACAGAAAACAGGTATCAACCGACACCCTACTGGCGGGCAACTGTTCGCAGCTGACTCGTCTGGCTCGTCGATCGATCCATGTTTGTCAGCTATATTATTACTTCTCTTTCTTCGGTTTTTTTTCTTTTTCTAAATCCTTCTTTTCTTATTCTTTTTATCTTTTCTAGCCTCGCTATGTTCCGTCTAATGCGTCTTAAGAGATCTACGAAAGCGAACGATCTTTGGGTATCGACTGATACCTGATACCTAACGCCTTCTAAAACTCGAAAGACTAAATTTCGATGGGAATCTACAAATATGAATCTGTAGTATTATTTCACCTGTTATTCATTCCAATCTAATTTCTATTAATTCTATTCGTTCTGTACTTCTAAGCCATTGATTCGATATATCTAACGACCATGTTTTTTAATTGAACTAACGTAACAAATGGCCATAATTGATCGATAGTTACGGCCGTAGGAAGATTCGTACATTTCTTAAAGACGCTACGGACTTTTTAACGAAGAAAGTTTGAAGTTCATGGACTGCGACTTACAGGTTTTTCTTTTACTCGAAGCACTGAAAACCAAAAATTTGCGAATATTCTAAAAATTCTGAACGTCAGCTAATGCTCACACTAATAATTACCCCAAAGTTAGGGTGAATGAACTTTAATTCGTGATTAATTTTACTCCGAAAATGAAAGAAGTATTTGAAATAAAGGGATTCAGAAATGAATCTGAATAGAATAAAAATGAGGTAAATTACTTCACTACTTGCATAGCTTTCCAATATTTTTATCATAAAATACCGTGAAATGAAAGTTTCGATGTACAGACTACACATTAGATATCGATATTACCAGATCATGCATAACTATTACTTCACAAAAACAAGATATAAAAACAGTAAACTACCAATATATTACCAACATATATTTTCAAAAAGAAAAAAAAGAAAGAAAAGAAAGAAAACTAATTAGAATACTCATCGAAGCGAATTTCCCCTCAAAACAATACATGGTACACAACATACCTAACAAAATTACATCAACGATTGCGCGACAAAGTACCGACGTTTAAAATATGTATATCCAAAAATAACAATCTTTCAACATACAACAAAGAGCGAATTTTCTTTCAATCCAACGAGACACAACTTTCATTTCCAGTCAACCAAACTAGGAGAACAAAAATTACTTCAAATGTTTCTAATAACTATCACATCCTATTCCCAGAAACACCAGAAACATCTACAGCATGGAATTGACAATACAGCATTACTAACTCATATAACATATATAAAAAACAAAAAAAAAAATAATATTATGATAAAATGAAACAATAGGATTTCGCCTCGCGAAGGATCATCACACTGTACACTCTTACTAAGGACATATCACAGAAGGGAAATCGGAGAATAAAAAAAAATACAAAGAGAAACAATATAGCGATACGTTGGCCCTTACCTTTGGCAGTGGATATGTGTCTGGCAGCGATAAAACGGGTGGTGAGCTGGGGGTTTCCGCTTCGATGGTCAGGGCGGGGTTGGTGGGCGTTAAGGGGTTCAAGTTCGAGGTCCCAGAGGACACGGTCACCGTACCGGTCACAGTCACTTTTGTCGGCCTGTTCGGAACTTCCTTCGAGGCACGATGCTCCGCGAGGAGTTTGTCAAAGGTTTTACTCCGACCGATGACTGTCCGCCGCAACGAAACCGTATGCGCTTTGCACGTAAGCGACCTGGTGCAAGGCTTGCCTGTTTCCTCGTTCCACACTCCACAATGTCGATCTGGGTCGTACTCTCGATCTTTGAGCAACGACCGATCGGTTTTGAGTCTCTTCCGACGAGGTTGACCGGTCGCTGTGCCAGGGCTTTTTACAGGACTCGAGCTAATTACAGTTCCTGATCCAGAGTTCGATGTTTGAACAGACGATGGTAACGACTCAAGAGGCGATCGAGGCGACGATGAGATCGGTATCGATGAAGATGACAAGTTCGTTGAGATGCTTGGCTGTTCCGTGCTCCGTTTCACGTTCGTGTGATTGATCTTATTGCTCCCGCTATTTGAGATCTGAGGCGATGACTGCGTCTTTTTCAGTTTCGACACCTTGCAATAGGGCGTCTTCAGAGGAGTTTTTACGACTGGAGTGGAGGGAGGTGGAAAATTGACAGTACCAGAAGGATGGCGACTTTCTGTAACAAAATATCAACGGTATTATGTAGTATGGTTTATGCAAGGTAGATAAAAAGTTCTTGGATAAGCGATATTTTTTTACAAGAACGTTTTAATATGAGTCTAGTTACTTGTATTTTTTTCTGTTTCGCTTAAATGACTTATGAGAAAGATATTATGTATGAAAAGAATAAGTTATCTATGAAATACTTATGTTTCTTGTATGTTTAAAATTACAATTGCTCTGTCAAAAGAAGTAGAATAAATTTTACTTGATATAGAAAGGTAATACTAATATTTGAGCAGAAAGGAGGGAAGTATAAAACGACATACCCATATGTTGAATGAGAGCCTGTGGTTTGACTATTGCATGACAGGTTTCACATACTACCGTGTAAAAAGCATCCCTTTCAGGACAAAATCCATATAAATCGATGTCTGAAACAAAAATTGTCTTGTTAGAAAACAGTTACAATTTCAATCTCTAAACAAGATTGTATCTCTACTACGTTAAACTTACCTTCAGCTGAAAGTCTCGTAACAGAACTAGTAAGTTGAGCATCCGGTTCTTCATCGCCTGTAACAAGTCAAATTTTCTTATGGATAATATGACAAAGTAAACAATGCGTAATATAAGGACACTTCAATAGCAAATTATTAACTTATATGCAACACATAAAATGTATTATAAACATATATCTTCGAATTAAATATTTGAAGAAGAAATTATTAAAAGGATTATATACCATGATTAATATTATGCTTAAACGTAAAGTTCACGTTCACCGTATTATAATTGTATTTACCCTGTTAAAAAAGATTAAAAAAATCATAAGATATTGTTAGCTTCGTATCTATTGAATTTTGTCCTTAAAAGATCATTTTTCATTCATTCCCATCAGTTTCCAAGCAGTAATGTGAAATAAAAACACAAACTTCTGGGTAAACAACTTTTATTATGTTTATATTTCTTACATGCATAAGTCTTGTAACAAAAAAGTCTTATAAGAGAGAACAGAGCACAAATATAATAAAAATACAAGTGTACATATATTCGTTCGAGAAAAAGTCCATCAAATAGCGCGGGTTCGGTCGAGATCGTTTCACGAAATTCAGTGATTCATGCCAATGTATTATTTCTATATGCTCTAATCTAACGTTTCGACGCTCCATCATTTTCACAAACGGGTTTCGCCACGAATTACATAATTGTCAGTGGAAAGAGCCAATAAAATACGCGCGATCATCTATGAAAATGTCAACCGTGATTAGCGCTGGACAATTGTTGACAACCGTTTTAAATAAATGCGTGTCAATGCGGGCCCTAACGATGCCCTGCGTCAAGTCGACAGACAAAGGAGCATCGAAGTTGAGGTTAGGTACACGAGCTAGACGCTCTCCGTTGTCGCGGTTTTAAACCAAACGAGAGCAAACGAACGAACATTTTCGATGAGATTCAGCGCACTTACTCAACGGTTTGTCTCGTCCGATTTTTTCGATCCAGCTGGACCAGGGCTGGCCGTGAAAGAATGTTGGGCTGTCACTTCCCGACATTGCCAGTGGCGCTCGCGTTGTGAATGAAACACGATGCGATTTCTCGTGTATATAGCGAGGCGAAAGTGTTTTGGGGCCGGGCCGCGTGGACTGTCAGGTGCCGCGGGTCGCGTACGATCTGTCTCTTTCTTAACGCGATAATACTTTGAATACATTTGCTCATAGAGTATACGCGTTCTCACATACGAGAAAAATAACCTACTGAACTTTGAAAATTTTGTCTGGCAAGACCCTGTCGGCTAACATCTTTCACGGAGCGATATACTCTACCACTTCTCTCGCGTTTGTACGCCCGAATACGAGTAACACGCTTCGGCGTACCGCACGCACGTAAGGTTATTACTGCGAGATCCGAGCGCTTGCATTGGACGAACTAATATGACGTCACCGACGAATAGTCAGCTACTCGTGCGCAACTCGTTCGGACCAATCAGATCTTTGGATTTCTGTCCTATCTCGTCTCGTCGCGGTACCTTATTGGCGATTCTGGCTTGCTCAGCAGGTGGATTGGAAATTTAAAGTTTTTCAAGTACACTAGAATTTACCACGTTTAATTACTATCTTTTTATTCCTTCGTAAAAGACACACAGCTTATAAAACGATATTACAAACGCTCCCTTTTCTCTCCTTATATGAAATAATGATATACAGAGACATTGATACTGATTCGAAGTATATTTTTACTTCGACTATCGAAATTCATTGGATATTTAATCCTGTGTCGATAAAGTAACTGTATCAAGATCAAGTCGTACAAAAGATTTAATTTGACTAGCAAAATAACGACGGCAATGTACGTCGTCTGAAATTAAATACGAAGCAACGAAATTCGAAATATTTAACCCGCGAAAAACGGTCTCTGATTCGGTTGCGTCTCAACTGGTTGAGCTCTATTTTTTGAGTCACCACGGTGTTCTTGAATTTGTTGCCAATTTATAAACCAAAATGGTTGTTTATCTCTCGGCCAGGTTTTGATTCGATTTACTAAGGCAACGTCTCCCATAGCGTCTACTGGCAAATCTGGAGGAATCGTTGATGTTGTGATAGGAGTATTAGACGCTACAGCTCCTACTGCTACTGCTGGCCTATTGGTATTGTTTATATCGATTCGACTTCCGACGGTTCCAGTAGTAGCACTAGCTACTGCTGCTTGTTCATCCAGATACTGTGGAAGGACACCAGGATATGGCTTGCTACTTCCAGCATAAGTTGGCCTCTGCGATTGGACCAAAATAAAGGTGGCGAACAAGATTACTACGTATTTTATCTGTAACGATAAATTTCAAAAAGAATATTAAAAAAACCAAAAAAAAAAAAAAAAGAATTGGCAAACGTAAAAATTGAAAGTAATATTTGAATCGATGCTTCTATTAATGTTGTTATTTTTATCAGTCCAATTTTGTAAAGTATATTTTACTTACCATGATGTTTTAAGTAAATATTTTAATAAGTCACTCTTGTAAGTACGTATGGATATTTCTCTGAGATCGGCAAACTAAACGTTCGGTTTCTCCGTTGAAACTGATCTGTTCAACGCGATGGAGTCTCTTGTATATAAATCCGCAGATACCGGATTCCCCACCACGGAACCAGTCGAGTCATAGGCATCAATGGGAAACCGTCGTAATTTCTCGGACCCAGTCCCTCTGATGCGTGTACGTATTCTATAAGATATGAAATTGACGTCCGGGAAATTTCGGACGATATCATCGTCGATTGCTTCCTTTCCTAACAGGACTAATTTCTACTTTCGACGATGAACTGGATTCTCGTGAAATCTTCCTTGACACGCATACGGAACCAACAAGCGAATTTGCCGAAAATATCTTGACCTCAAATTATGAGTAGACGAAATTGAGGACTTGCTTTGATAAATAAAGATTTCGAAGGAAACATCAGAAGCTTTTTCATGTTTCAAAATTTTCTACTTAGGTTTCACATAATTTTATGTTTTATGAAATATTTTCATATCGAGTTAAGGCTATTAGTAATTTTTCAACTTTAAAATTGTTTAGCTAAGCTTAAGAGAATTTGATATAAATCAAGGATTTAATATCCTTTTGTTTCGAGCATATTTCCCAATTTATTTATATAATGTTTGAAATAAAAAGATTATCTGAATATATAAGAAGATATAGTGAGGATTCTTGTACAATATAGAAAGTTAGATGATGCCAAAACTGCGGAATGTTACAGGATTGGTAACACATTCGACTTCTGATTCACACGATACATAAAATTACAAGGCTTTTGTTGTATCCGAACAATTACCATTTTTCATCTACACATCCATGTATATATATATATGTGTGTGTATATGTAACGGAATGTGAATATTTGTCTCTATCGTGGTAATGTTGCGGCTTCGTGATGACATCATACACTATAGTTTGCACAATTTTTCGCCTTTACCTTTTTTCGATGTTCGATACGGAAAAGAAGCAAAACTACAGAAAAAATCTTAGATTTAAAAGCTCATAATAAGTATGAAGAAATTAATACGTTAAATTAAGTGGAAAACGATATTGCTATTTTTGTACCCATATTTTATTCATATCTCTGTAAAAGCGAACAATATTTTCAGTGATTCCCACCACACAGTGTGCACCGATAAAATTGCATTAATTTGTAATGTCTGCCTTGATAAAGAAATTATCTCGAAAGAAGTAAATCTCCATACATGATGATAAGCCGAAAAGATGGAATTGCGCATGAATACGTCAGAGGTTAAAAAGAATCTATGATATAAATCTCCTAGTGCACTGGACCGAATATTTTTGTTCGTGTGTGTATAAACTCCGCCAATCAATAATGTCAGAGTTATCGTCCGGGTATAATAAAATGTCCACGATAGCCGTGGAAATACCAAAAACGCAAAATATTATAATTCTTAATTCAGTTATTCCACGCTATCCATAGCGATGGAACGTCGTGTAAATGTACACGCAGGTTTCAATCAAATACGATAAAATCTTTGACAAAATTTCCAAAATACAGTATAATTTAATTTTCCTTATAATTAGACTACATATTTTTATGCAATTTGTTTTGTCTCTGAATATAAATAAGAAATAATTTAGATTATTTCATTTAGTAAATATTCTACTTCGAATATCTTTTTATAGTTCTGCATATTATGCGCATTCTAAGCATCTTAAATTTATGATAAAAATTTATAATACCCAAAAATCCGTAATCTACTTATATTATATACAGTTAATGAATATTGACTTTTTTAATTACAACAATCATTAATCCCTGCTATAAATAAACTAACAATAAGTTTCTATTGAATTATAAAAACAATGTATCTGTACATATTTCGTTGAATTTCTTCTCTTGTTTTTTTTGTTTCTATGATGATACATTGCTGGCGCGTGTAGTGAAAACATATGGAAGGGGTAATGATTTTTATTGTCAAGGTTTAGAATGGCTACAAAGTCAACATCTACCTCTTACTCATCTTGTGGAGGAGGAACAAGGATCACTAAGATCTTGTAACGGTGAAGATGCCTTGGATTTTCCCCATCATTATACCAAAGACGTTCATGCATATCTGTGAAAGATGGGATCTACGGAAACATATAATTTAAAAGATATTTAGCCATTATAAAAATATATAGTATAAAATATTTAGTCGTAACAGCTTGTACAATATAACTCTATTTAAAAGAGAGAAAATACAGAGAATTTCAAATATTACAATATACAGGATATACCAAAATTCATGATGGAAGGCGAAAAAGGGCGGGGATTCACTGTAGGAGAGATACGTAGCGTGATAATCTTTGATATAAGACTCCGTCTTCGACAAAATTAACTATGAGGTTTCGTCAAGTATGCGTGCACTTGAGAGATAACGAGAGTCGGTTGGACTGGTTTTCTTTGCATTTATGTACTGTTCGATAGTATACGCAAAAAGGGGGTATTTCCCCATGTAAAGGAAGTCGACAGTGTGGAGTGACAAATTTTTATATAAGGCTTCGTTTTTTCGAAGAAATCAACTATGTGATTTCGTCAAGTATGCGTAACGAGATAACGAGAGTCGGTTGAACGAACTTCTTCTGCCAATCTGTTGGGCAGAATACATACTTGATGGAAATTCACAGTCGACCTTCTTTAATACAAAGGCTTATATTAAAAATTGCCATTCTACATTTTCCACTTACTTTCGCATGCGGAATCATTCCCTTTCGATTTTTAGCATGATCCTTGGTACACCCTGTATCTGGAAAAATGAAAAAAAAAAAAAAAAGAAAACGTTACATAAGATATTTTGACTCAGAAGGGAAGAGGAATATTTTGCATATTTTTTATATTTGTACGCGTTATATGCATACAGTGGAACTCCGTTTATATGAACTCCATTTACATATACGAAGGAAATTTTAGTAGTGTCTGGTCGTCTGAACTTCTACCGAGCTCCTATTCATCTGAACTACTGCCGAGCGTCAATCCACTTATCTGAATGTCTTACTGTAAGATGTAAGCAGTAAACAGTAGAGGCACGTGTTATGTGACACAATCTCTTGCCTCGAAATCGATACCAGTTTGCAGCATTATTATATATTTAGGCGTAAATATTTCGTGGAATCTTATATAAATATGAACTGCTATTAACTGAACGAAAAATCACGAACGGGTAAAAGTAGACGGGTTTCTGTTATACGAGCGACTTGATTATATGAACCAACTTGTCCCCTAACGGGTTCATGTAAGGCGTTCTACTGTACTGTGCATTTTTGCACACATTTCAATTCCCCATAAATAATCACTCGCAGTTTACTCATCAGCCTTGAATAACAAAGCGTAAGAGAATTGGTTCTTCACTGATCACAGAATATATCTATAATTCGCTTCGATTGTTTGTTTCTTAAGATGACGAAGCACAATGTTTCTGATTCACATGTACACGTAATAAAATTTCTTCGATTGATACTATAATTAACGACAATAAAATTACAACAAAGGTCATCAATTTCACACGAAGCGGCTGGACTACGCAATAAGAATTTTCTCCTAATTTGATGTAGAACTCACGTCATGGATATTATACGTTCTATTGGTGTAAATGGGTTTTCCTATGAACTTTGACATTTACAATTATGCTTGCGATAAAGCCGATTCCAATCGACAATCCATAAATAAAGCAAAGAGTGAGCAACGTTATTGAGTGTACGAACAGATTACTATCTAATTTACAGCATGCATTACGAATAATTGTCCGATATTATGCATTGCATTCGTTAAGAAATATGAGTTGTTACCAGCTAAAATAAAATGCTGCTTTTATCTATTGATAATTAGTAGATTGCGGATATTTACGTAAACTTATATTTTTATAAAACAAATGAAACAAATGTGTTTCATCTACTAAATATTCATTGGAATAAGTACTGATCTTTGGGTATTTTATATATTTTTGCGTATTATACACATTCCGTGCGTTCATGTACTTTAGGAATTTTCATAAATGCATAAAAATTCGCAATCTTATAATTAGACTGATATTTTGTATGTGTCGTTGAAAATCTGCTCTCCGAGTTCAGAAAAATAGTGTTTGTTTCATTTATAAGAAGAGTACGTGTTCTTATATCGATCATTTGTACGACCACCGAAATGTGAGAATGATAAAATTCTATTATTCATCAATACCGGTTTGACATTTCAAAGAAGTCTTAGAGGAAGATTTGTTGCAATGAGTAAATTATACGCGTTCGTAAAAATATACGTGATTTAATTAATTCGCAAAATCTCTTGGGTTTATCAAAATTATAATACATTTAAAAATATACATATATAGATATAGAATATATGTCGATGGAAAAAGTGTTGCGTGATTTAAAGTTTTTGCAAAAATGTTCTACATATAATTTCAAAGATAATATTTTATAATTCAAGATTAATAATTCATTAGGATAATATTATTGGTATCCAATCCTAATTACCGTCATTATGACGTAATATATTCCCACAACATTTAGATATAGATTACAATAAATTGTTTTATAACTTATGCGTAATAGGTTTTGAACCACGTATTTTATCATGTCCACGTCATAAACAGAGTATAATTTAAAATTCACAACTGCAATTTGTTATATAAACTAGCCTCAACTTCCTGGAGCTGCTTGTTCATCGACTGATGAGTATCTTGACCGACACTTTTTAATTTTATTTTTGAATCACGAGATGGCTATAGTAACTACTGTTCAGGATAACCTGTTTCCTTCATAGAAGAATAATTCTTGGCTTTTCTATTCTATTCTTTATAAACTTATTTATGAATTAATATCTATACCAGTATTAATTTGAAATATGATTAGTAAAAGGAAAGAAAATTATAGGAAATACGATTAGTAAAGAAAAGGAAATTCTCAATATATTGCAATATTTTGACGCGGATCATTTTTATTTTTTTTTTAGTCAATGTCAATGATGCAACATCATTAACTACATCATCATTGACTAAAGTATAGACATGACACTATTATATGGAACTTTATCTTTTACGTTCTGAAATACCGACCTGGAAGAAATCATATTTCTTACGCCCTCTATGATTTGCTACGGCGGAAATGGGAATTAAAATCAAATTTTATTACTCAACTATGTACAACATACAGGCAATAATATACACTCACTATGATAAAAAATAGATATTTATCTACTTTACCTTACTTTATCTACTGAAATACGATGGAAGTCCAATACATAATTATGCACTTAAATGCTACTACTCATATATTACTTAAATATTAAAGTACTTATTTATTTAAGCACAGTGGTACTTTCTAGTAATATTTGATTCATTCTTGGACGGATTTGAATGTTACACTTTTATATTTTATACTGAATATAGGGATATACATTATCATAAAACATGCCCGAAGCGAGCCTGATAACAACAAACCGCGTACAGCCTTCGATCAAAACGTATCTGAACATGTCGTTAGATTCTTTCGCAACAATAATAACATTTTTTTCGTATAAATTTGATAACGATATTAATAGAGAAAACTCGTGATTGAAATATAACAACACATAGAAGGCATTTCAATTTTTTGTGTACATATAAGAATTGAATGAATCGCCATTAATATTTACTTAATATTAACATTAATGTTAACCATTCATAAAATACATAATTGTTTATAACTTAATCATGTTACATATTAATTGGATACCTGTTACACGTGAATCGAACAAAAGACAATATAAGTGTATACGTACCTCCATCTCCGTAAAGAAAAGTTAATTACCAAACGTTCTTCATTGTCACCGTTAATTGTCACACTCGTTACATTCTCACGTCTATTCTTTCGAAGTTATTTTCGTACTTAACCAATGATCTGCACAGAACGTAACCAAAGATTTAAGATTAATGCATAAAACTGAAGCAATTGTGTTAAAACGAAGAAATAATCAAACTCAAATTAATTAAAAGCTTATAATACAAACTATAGATGATACTAACATTGAAATAGGCGATCGATGACAAACGAACAGAGAAAGTACGAAGAAATATTGAACATCGCTATAAATATACCCTATAATAAAGTACTAAATAAGAACATATTAGTTAAACGAACCTGATTATAGTCGATAGAAGACAATAGATTTGTAGCAGAAATAGTATTACGTCGTTGAAGTTAAAATCACGCAAGGACGATATATCTTAACATCACGCTCTTCCTCAGTACAATGACATTTCGCGCCAAAACATCGTCTAACTGACTTCTGATTGGCTGACGCGGAACGACTTCTGATTGGCTGACGTGGAACAACTTCTCATTAGTTTAGAGCCGCGCACAAAATTGAAATATCGTATGCCGCGAAATTTGATTTAGTCGATCTGTAGCATTTACAGCGTAGATACTTATAAGAAGTTCCTAAAGTTTGTTATCTCTTTCATATTTACACCGATAATATTAATCGAATTTAATTTATCGCTAATCTTTCTTTATCATTATTGTTATAATTAATTTATTACAGTGGATATAACATTCCTCTTTTATTAAATAAAACAATATAAGTAATTAAAATAATAAATTAATTAAAATAATATAATCTTATGTTATTACAAACTAAAGCAGACTTTAGCGAATGTATAAGATTTATATTCTGGGCCTTGCTATTCAAGAAAAATACGTTTTATTTTACGAGTATAAAGAGTAAATTATTTTAAAGAAAATAAAAAAGAAAACGATTGTATTTTTAAAATGCATACTACAAAATTTTAAATATAATTTATCACGAAATATATTTTATTCCATATTTAGATAAATTTATTTCACCTTAACCCGCTCCTCCATTTATCTATGAAAAGGGTCACCACTGAATCAAAAGCCTCGGGCCCGAAAAATTTTAATACAGCTCTGCTGCTCGACCGCCTTCGGACAATGCGCATGCACCGTTTCTCTTCTGGGCGGGTAAATGTATATAAGTATTTCGCGAATTTGAAAAGATCAATAAACGTCGGCTGTCAAAAAGAGAAGGATTCACGCAAAATTAAAATCGTGTACATTTTAAACTCTCAGCTTTGCGATTCAAACCGTCATGTTCATATCACAAAATACGGGCCTATTACTATTATATCATTTTATGACATATTATATCATTTTCGATTATAGTAAATACTCATGATACGATTATAATTATATGGTAAATAATGGGAGTTAATTGCTTGCAATCGCGATTATATTTTTATATACATAATTAGGGAACTTATAACACTATTAGAAACTTATTGATTTTCAAAATTGCAGAGTATCAAATTCAAGGGAAAACGTTTGAGGCTTTTTGGTAATGAAAACTAAAGAGATACTATATTTTGTCTGAATGATTGTGGTCCTTAAAATAGGTCCCGTTTGTAATTTATAATTTCATTATTTTCTATATTTATTATTAGAAGCTATAATAATTTATTAAAGTAAAGAATATATACAACTTTTCTGTATATTATAATATTTCTTCTAAATTGAATAGTAGAAAAGATGTAAATTTAAAATGTTAATTGTTTTCTGAATGTTTCCTTTGCATATTGCAATTCTGTTCGTTGCATAGTGTCGCTATCTCTCGCAGCTCGCAGTACTTTCTATAAAGATTTACAGAATTTTCCACGATTGCTCGAAAGATCTTGCTGATAGAAAAGCTATATTAAAAAATTCTATCCCTCCAAATAAAAAATGGATAGAAATGAAAGTTTTATTATATTTTATTTAACATTTCACAAGTTTTATAAAAAAACAGTTAGTCGGATTTCTTTTTATTTATTTTTCCACTCACTCTTGTATTTTTTATTTTATATGTATTTTAAGACAAAATAATCTTCAAGTAACATCAGGAGTAAAATCAATGGCGCATTTTGTTTTCAATAAAGAGAATTTAAAACATTCGATTCAAACTGTTTAATAAGCAAATTAACTTGAAATATGCTGTAATGACTTAAACGGGCTTAGAAAATTGAGCCATTTAAGCATGGGCCAGTTTTCTTGATATTTACAGAAAGCCATCATTGTTTCGTCTATTATCGGGCTAGTTGTCGACGTCATCTAATTTAGTGTTGCAAACGAGATCATTGCTGCTGATCAACGGGCTAATGACAAAATTACTCTCTTTGTTCTACAAGATAAATGTCACTTTCAAGGTCTTTGCCAACGGTATCCCACAATTTTTCTCAACTGACCTTTTTTCTCATTTTTCTTACTTTACCTTATAACTTTTCCTTTCTACACGTTCTCCTCCCCGATTACTTAAAAAAATTATATAACGATGTGTAATTCAAAATTCAAATAACAAAGTTGTTCAATGCAGTTAAATTAAGAAAATGTATATAATAATTACAATATTATTTATTATTTAATATCACAATATATACAGATTAATTACTACGTATTATTATATTAATTTCATTTTTATTAAAATAGTTATTTCAAGAATTATCTAAGCATGAATTTCTCCCTCCCTACCCCTATCGTGAAAACATACGAACCGTCATCCGATGTATGTATAAATCCATCGAACTGTGGCAAATTGCTAAACCTTGGGGACTATCAAACTTCAACCAAGCAATTAATACGCTCGTCGAATGTTTGTCTCCGTATACGTTTGTACAACAATTAACATGCTTCATTAAATATCAGTTTAATTTTGTTTAATTATATCTTTCTCTATTGATTCTACATATATCAGATTCTCCAATCAAAAAGTTAGGTCTCTTTAGGTCTTGTATATTTTTATTCGCGGATCAAATATATTTCAAGACCGCACGAGAAAAATACGATAGGTGTATGATCACGTTTTAATAGAATATCAATTTCTAAATTTACCACGCTGTCGATCAATCCTATATCGCCTTTCTCCAAGTTTCGTAAGATTGTAACATCTAGATGGAGTAAGAAATAATAATAGAAAATCATCGAGTAAATTCGCGACATTCCATTTCATCGTCAGAATGCGGTTTCGATACAATGTAATAGCCTAAATTTACTGAAAAATATTACAAATGATATTTGTATTGCGAATAAAATCGCGTTAACGTAACGTTAGTCTTTAAAGAGTTAAATCGACGCGAAGTATAAGAAATTGATAAAATGGACGTATTATATCACGTTCTTTCTGTAAGTACGACATAATCGGGAGGCAGCGATCGCTTCAGAACTTGAAGAGATCGGCGATAAAATGGTAATTCGTTCGAACAAATTTTTTGTTCTCCCTATGGAAGCGTATAAACTATTTCATGGCAAAGCGTATAAAAGCCTGGTCTCTCTACGAAGGGAGGAGAACTCCGTTTGAAACCGAACAACGACACTGACCACACGGCGTGAACTTTATTCTAGTGCCGCTTCTCCTAGGTCAGTTAGGTCCCTCGATTGCATGTTGTTATTATACTCGTGACCGATTATCGTTGGTATCGTCAATGGTTCACGAAGGACGGGTCAAGCCAGTTGCAACGATACGTTAACACCGTTGACACCAAAACTCTCCCCGTTCGATTCGTCGATTATGTCAAATTTCTTCGCGCCCCTCGAGGACCGTGCGACCTAATTTTTAACCCAGTACCTCCAATCTCGGTTCCATCGCTCGCGATATCTCATCCTCTGACCCCTGTATACCGTCATTGGATGTATTTCCATTTTCTGATCTTAACGTTCGAATTCTGACGATATTCGATATAAATTTATCGTTTCTAATCGATTCTCATAATCCAATGACCCGATATAGTCTAGTATTGTATCCTGTAACCTTTGTATTCCATCATTTATCACGTTTTCTAATTTCTATATTCCTATGCTAACGATTCGATTCTCTATCGCTCGAGATAAATCCATTATTCATAACCGATTCTCATAATTACGATCTAACGTTTTTAATTCTAATCTAATAACTCTTACCTCTACATTTCATATCCCAATCTTTATATTTCAATTCCAATTCGACTTTTATTCGTAAATAATTCTATTGTTATTATTAACCAATCTTTGTAATTGCAACCTAACGCCTCTAATTCTACTCTAATATTTCCTTTGTATTCGTACATTTCCTGTATTTCATTTGCTATTTTTTCCTGTATTGTATTTGCTCTGTATTCCATCGTTTCAGTTCAATTTTTTATCTGTTTTATTATATCTGTTTTGCAGGTGTTCGCGTACCAAACGACGAGAGGCTACGATTCGCACCATTTCAAATTTCACGCCACCATACACCGACCAAGGGGAATATGTGGGGTTAAGTATGTCGATAAAATGCCGATCTAAGGAACCCCATAGGCTACAATGTCGCTACGAAGACGCCAAAATTACCAAATTCTCGTCAAACTGGATTCAAAGTGGGTGCTGTCGTTTCATTTAAAGACGCAACTTATCAAGAATTTGATTTCGAAAACGAGACTTTCGAGTTGGAGTTTTACGACAGGGGAATCAAAGAATACTTATTCGAAGAGAAGATGGATCATTATAATGTGAACAGACATAATAAGTGAGAATAAGATCAGTGCAGAAGGTGGAGAAACTAGAGAATTCGAGCATGGCCAAGTGTTTCGTCTGTTACGAGCTTTCACAGAACAACGTGGACGATTGAACGAACAGGGGAGAGTTTCACTTTATTTGATTAGCCGATCACACGATGAGCCCTGAGATCGCAAAAAAGGTGTATTTGAACTTTGAGGTGTGTTTGAAATTAGACGCACGTATAGCGTGGCTCTTCTACTATCCAAAAAGAAACTGGTACGTGATGATTTCATATTGTATCGACAGAATATAATGTATCCTATGATGTATCATATAATGTTATAGCAGAGGTTCAGTTTTGCAAAAGGAATATTCATCTTTTTCTGGAGAAATGTTTATACTCCAAGCGAAATGTCAATTGTAAATTTCTTCAAAGAGAATTTTTTTTTTCTTTTTTCTTTTTTGAAGAAACTTTGGGGCATTTCATTCGAACATTGTGCGTTGTTTATGGTTTTATCTTGGTTTTTTGAAAGTTTAGAATAGTAAAAAAGCATCGATTTCTAATAAAATGATACAATATTAGGTAACATTCATATAAACTTATTTATTTACTTTTCTCATTGTTTTTGCTACTTGTTTATCAGCGAATAAACCGACGCTCACGCAAACCGTAAACCGATATATGAATCCATCGAAATGTGGCAAACTGTTGAAACCCCGAGAATCATCAAACTTCAACCACTCAATTAATTCAATAATTATTTGGCCCTGTACACGTTTATAAGGTAATTAACAAGCTCTTTCATGCTTCTAGCATGTTCTACGTAATTCGTACCTTTGCACAATTTTGAATAAAAACACGTAAATTCCGATCTTTGAAAATTCTACATACGAACTTCTCAGACGCCAAACTGATAAACTCCACTTCTTATTAATTTTCTAATTTCGTTGCGTAAATATGCGATTAATGTTGAATTTTTGACAAACAAATGGCTTATTTTATTATTAAACAACGATAAATTCTTAGAAAAACAAGAATTCGTTGCCCGACCGATGTGGCTTAAAACAGAAAAGAAAATAAAAATCGTACGTTTCAATGATTCCCAGGTTAGGATTAGGTTTCAAGTTAACAAGATAACAAATTTCGTATCGATCAACGTGAATTTTGCGAACGATAGATTCATTGAAATCTCAAACGTCTGTAATTTCAGTTTTAAAAAATGTTTCATCTAAATAAATCGTTTATATCGTTTCGTATGAAATTTGTTCAGTCGTTGACTTCAGTCGCAAATAATCGAAGCGTTTCTTCGCTACACGATTTCTTCGAACAGATATTCGTAAGAAATACTATAAACCTGCCTTTTTAAATGCTCTGTTAGAAATCGAGAAAGCCGGAACATCGGTATCAGAGATAGAGAAACATCGAAGAAAATTTACGTATGAGCGATCGATTGAAGAACGACGGGAACATAGACGGTCGTTGACATGTAAAGTAATTGCTCGGCTAGTTTCGAAATGGCGTGTTAACAGGTTGCGGGAGGGTCCCTTCATGGCCCCGATTGGAACTACTGTATCAATTCTCTAAACTCTATCGCCGGCTGTGCACATATACCTCTACACGCTTTATTTTCCAACTGGAAAGAGAGAGCCGGCTTCGGTAAATTGGAGCTTGCTAATCGTAAGAAGAGGTCAGTAGTGCAGTTTAGCCACGGTATAAGAGCGGCCCCAACATCGCTTTACTCCACTAAAGTAGTTGAACGTTGCACGGTATCACCATGAACGTAGTGCTGAACGTGGTGCCATTTTTCTTAGGTAAGCCATGCCACAGACAACGATGGCGCTCGTACACTTCTGTATCTTCTCATCATCTTCGATCGATCATCCTCGTGTATCTTTCTTCGTTCGCGCATCTATATCTCTTAATCAAATCTTCGTTAAAAAGGAAACAATTATTATCTCTCCGTCTATCTGTTATAATTTCGTTTAATCGCGATCGATCGGCAAGTAGTGGCTGTATTACTCGGCTCGGGCAGAAAATCCAAAGTACAAAGAGCGGCGAGCATGAAGTACAGCCGCGTGATGCGAAAGATAACACTGGACCGTCTCTAATCGGTTCTATTCAAGCCGGTCCAATCATTCAATTCACGTTCACGTGTGCTCGTGGGTAGATCGCACGAGATAGAAATCCGCGACATATCGTGTTCACGCCGGATCATCCCAGAAATGTGCCACGCAGAAACTAAGTTTAATCATTTCCGTGTCTTAAAACCTCTTTAATTTTCGTACCAGCATGCAAAATCGCGCTATACGTCTGTAACTGGTGAGATGGAGTCTATGAGATATTTTTCAGATATTTTATATTTTTACGGTAATTTGGAAAATATGCATAGCCAGGCGTTTTATTATAGTACCAGGGCGTGGATATGTATTCCAACGAACTATAATTCTAAGAAATATGCCACAGCAATCAAATACGAATATTAATTTTGCACGAGTGTATGCGTGCAATTCGGTGTGATGCTTCATCCGTTAGAACACAAATCTATACCGATTTAATATATAACTTATTCAACCGCCACTGTATAAATAGCGCGCGATATTAACTCTCATAAACTCCTGCAAGTTTCTACCTACGTGCTGAAATGACCTGTTATACGAATATTTATGAATATTTACTTAAACTATATTAGAATTACCAGGTATTAAATAAATATTTAATTCTGCAAAAACCAAAGAATAAGTTTCAATGAAACAGATCGATGTGTAGCTTCTCTGCGTGACACAAGCTTGTCATGAGACGCGACGCATTTAGAAGCTGGTCATCTAGACGCAAGTCTGATCACGCTGACACGTTTTCCAGCCGCACGTGTCGCCATTGATACTCCATGGAAGTACGGGCCAGAGTACACTTTCCACGTTCAAGTAAATTCAACGGCGATTCCCGAGGAAGGTAGCTACATGAGTATTCGGCTGAACGTCGCCTCGAAGCTGGTATGTCAACCAAAAGGACTCCGTATTCTCAGTTGTCATTTTCGCGACTCGAAAGCGGACAGTTACGCGACTGAAAGCCTCGATCCAGGAACACCAGCGGTCCCGGTCAGCCAGGTGTCGCGACAAGAAGCGTACGAGATCAACCAGGATCAGTTTGAGATTAGATTCACCGAGCAAGGACTGGATAGTCTCGTAGTGAATGAAAATATACAGCCAAGAGAGCTGGATATGATCAGGGTGATCGTGGGACAGTTGAACGTCGGTGTATTGGGAGAATACGATCAAACGGTCGAACTGATGGAGAACTTCACGCAGGGAGAGTGCGTGACGATGTTCTGGGTGGAACGGAATGTGATTGGTCATGCTTTATACGTGAACCGTGGCTACGTTCTGGAGACGATATTCGGATTGAAGGATGGACAGTTGGTGCAGATTAAGAAGATTAGAAATCTACATATGTGCACGCACAAGGTGCCGTATTTCTTTGGCAGCGCCGAGAGCATCAGACAAGTCAGCGACGTGGTGTCTACTGTTGTGAGTATTTGGAAGTATTTGGAAGTATTTGGTTGGATATTGATTTGGATTGGAGATTTTTTTGGGGGGGGGGGAGAGGATCGAATTGTTTCTGGAGAATTAAATAGTGATTTAACCTGCAATTTCGTCGAATACTAATTACCCTAAAGATGAGAATTTCATTCATATTTATTCAATATATTCATATTGCAATAAGCAATGTAATTTCTAGAAAAATTGCCAATTAGTATTTAAATGATCGATTTCTGAGAGACTTAAATTTGGTATTTCGAAATTCTGATAAAAGCTTTTTAAAATCTTCTAATGACTAATGGAAATACGTCTTTCGTTGCAGAGTTCGTCAGAAAGTCACATAGTAATCACATCCACCGAGTTCATATCTGGTACGACGAACGTGATAACTACCAGCAAGGTGTCTGAAGGAATGGTAACGACCTTATACGAAAACATAAGTGTGAGATTAGAGTCGATCCTACCCGCACTGGATGAACCACCTGAAGTAAAGGATCCTGAACCAGCTAGTATGTTTATTGGAAGATGGTTGATGGAAAGTTCGATGGAAGATGACTTATCGTTGGAAGTTTAAGATTTGCGTCGATATCTGATCATTTTCATTGATGTAGTCTAATGACGATAAAATTCATCTATCACTATTGTTGTAAATAGTGTGTAATTGTATTGTCATGTGACTCTGTAAATAATAAAGTAATCTTTCGTTTACATACATAAATCTCAAGTCATTTATGTTGCTTTATGAGATTATACATTATTTTTTAAAGAATTTCGTTAATAAATTTCTCTAATGAAACATATGAATTTTTTTTAAGCAGGTAACTATTATAAGATTAATGTGCATAATAATATTGTATTGCGTATAATAACATAACGTATATTGATTCATCCATATCCACTTAAATGTCGCTTGAACAATTTGTAATAGAAAATTACACTGTTATTTTTACGTAGAATAACACTTCGTTTAGGGTAACACTGTCAATTTAAAGGAAATTGAAAATTCACTTAAATAGAAATTGCTCAAGCATTTCTGCTTTAAGTAATTATATAAATTAACGCAAGAAGAAACTGGAAATGCAAAGATTAAAAGCGCGATCTGCTTTAATTGCAGACTGCTTTAAGCAATTTGATTTGAAGAAAGGAAGCAAGAACTATATCTTATCGTACATCTGCGTTTCATTAGCAACAAGTAGAACGCGGAAATTTACAAACTCCTATTTTTATAAATACAATTTAAAAGACGAAAATTGGACAGAGATCTATTTAATATCATAACGAGTATTAATATATTTTGGATGTCTCATACATTTTTGCACCTTCGTACAGTGTTCTTAGCGTTGCTAAGATCTTCGAAATATAGCAAACTATACTTGTAGCAGCATATGCCAAAGCTGCATCAGTTAGAAATGCTATCAGCGAATCTGGGAAATGGAATTTGGCCATTAGACAGAGATGCGTTTAACGACAGCGAATTTGTTTGCGTTAGTAATACGTCCGTATTGTAAACAATGTAATGCGACAGAAGATCAGATACATCGTATGGTAAGCTAAAAGAAGACGAAAGCGTTGCCCAGATAGCTGACACATATAGCACATATAGCATATATGTCACAATACATCGAATCCTACAGAGACTTTTGTGCAGAAAACGTCACAAACTCGATGCTCAACATTATGAGCGTAAAAAAAGCAAAAATCGATCTTTGTAATATTCCATTTTAGACAAAAAATCGCGAATACCTGTTTCTACTTCCAATAACGATATCTAACAATCCCAACAAGGACGAAGTAGAATCGAAGAAACAGGAGAAATTAGTTTCCGCTAAGAGACTGGCTGTATTATAATATAAGCAAATTATTTGTGGAATGGGTAAGGCATTTTATAAGATTCCCAAAGCTATTTAATGATAAAAATGTCGTTGTAACTATGGATGGATGTATTACCCGTACTGAAAACGTAGACGCCATTTCACTAGCCTGCGGTCATGAAATAATGATGTTGTCGCTATCTACACACGCATCGACTGCAGCCCCGTCATGTTTCATCTTTCAAACACTTAAGCAGCAGATAGGTGACTTCGCATATCCTGGCAAAAATATAATATAGTTTCACGTGTCAGGAAAATCCACCCCTTAACACCGCTGAAAGTAGCTTAGAGGAATATGAGGTGTGTTAATTATTTAATAAAACCATTTTGTTAAATGGTATTTAAATGTTATAACGAGTAATAAAAATTGGTGCCATATTTAATTGATGATTTCTACGTGAAATTAGATAAATGTAAATCGATCGTCCGAGTCGATTATTTCTTAAAATTGTGCGAAGGATTTAGAACAATAATTTTGTATTTGATAAAAATATTAGCGTTCGGTGTAAAATTCAACTAGTAACTGTTGAACATTGAGACTTTACCAATGTCTAATGAACGAAGGGATTATTCAAGGTTATATTCAACGAAGCGAAACGAATCGGCGCTTAAAAATGCGCGTCGGCTGAATGACAATGGGTCAATTCAATTTTGGCCTAATGACAGGGTCCGATATAACAATACGATGGTCCCAAGGGAAAAAAACCTCCGAATAAAATAATTTGCGCAGTGTGACGCGACGAAGAATAGTTGTTCCAGTTCCGAAAAAACGGTCCATACCAACTTACCAATCTAAAATTGGGAATTGTCCGATTTGATGAACCTGAGAAGAATTATAATACTCCCGATTGCCACGCAAATTATCGCGACTTTTATCGATGATGACTTTGAAGGGACTTTGAAATAATTTCTCAAAAACTTCCACCAATCAAAATGATCTTAATATGACCTCGAAGGAAATGAAAAGACTTTAAGGCTAAACGCGCACTAGCGATAGTTTTGTCGCTGTGGCTCGCATCAATCAAAAGTTCAATTTCTTTTTTTAATAACAAAAAAGGTCGTTCTGCAGTCGCGTCGTACGATGCGCGTACTTCCATATAAACGAATGTCCTTTTCGTAAGCGATAAAACCATCGCGCAACAAATTGTCCTTAGCGCGTGCACAGCAATTTTCAAATGACCTAATTTGAAGTTAGATAATCTTCAGGTTGAATGACTATTTTACTCAAATTTCTATACTTAAGGCTAATAAAATCAGAGTTTTCGACAGGAAGATCGGTCAGCACCTACCTTCCAATTATCTCGATGTAGTTTCGATCGAAATGAAGAATGACTACGAAGTATGATCAGAGAATGACATTTTCTGACGAAAGATTACGAAACGATGTTTAGGATTCAACAGATCTAATCACTGATACAATCACAGTCAGATCGATCACTTTCAAACTTTCCAAAAATTCTAATGATCGATCAAATCTACTGCGTATGAACGTGAGACGAAATGAAATGGAAAAGGGCGTCCTTCGTCTGGTTGCCTTGTTTCCATTCGGCTTAAACGTTTCCCAGAACGACGATTGTGGAGCCCATTAAAATCTTTAAAGGCGTGTCTAGACTGGAACGATCTGGGAACTATTGAAAATGATATCAGGCGTGTGAGACGGTACGGAAGATGTCTGCAGGAACCACGATCCGCACGGAAGCGGTTGTTAATGAAATTGTTTTCAAGGAGACAGCAATGAATCAAGTTATCTGTCGTATAAAGAGGAGACAGATAGAACACGGTCGCATCAGTCGTCTCAGTAGAAGCCGTTCGACATGCTGATAATAATTCTACCATTTTTTCTGGGTACGTACGTACGTGGATCCGTTTTTTCACCGATAATTCGATGAATGAAAACTCGTCGCTCATACGTCACTCATACCACCAAACTATCCGAAGATCGGGATATTTTTGGTTTCAAATAAATTTGAATTAGGTTACTTAAAGGGGTGTTTTTTTATATTTTAATCCTTAAAAGTCGAAAGCAACGAAATTTAACCCTTCTGGCATTAATTAGTAATATAAATATTTGTGTTAAAAAATTTGTGTTAATCGTAACTTTCAAAAATCGGAAACCTTACAGTGCCGATATCATATTTGCATTATGAAAAGCGAAAAGTGCGAGCGTGAATCACCTAGATTCCTCGAAATTCCACTTCGTTTTACGGTACACGAGTATCGCTAACTTGTTGCTTGTTCACCTCTTCCATTTGTTTCACGAATTTATTTGCCTACATATCCGATTAATTCGCTCATGGGATACAATCGATTGGATATACTGTCCGTTAAAGCACCAACGGTTTCAACCACCGACGGCTTTAAAAGTAAACGTTAAAGGGTGATCTCGAAGCACGTGCGTGAGGAGATACGCCCGCCGATACCATATACAATACACATGTAAACAGAGGGGAAGATATTTGAACATCGGAATGAATAACGTCGATATTTTTCAATGAATAATATTGATTTTGTTCCTTCCGTCAGATTTCTCCATTCTACCGAAATTCATTAAAAGTACGAGAAGATTATACAAATAATTTGTCAACGGTTTCGGGGAAATATCTATTTCGTCCTATACAGTGCGAACCACGACACGTGATTAGCTTAGATCAACCTATAGTCAGTGGGTCGATCGAACATTTTTTTGGCAGATATAACATGATTCCAAGACAGCTTTAAGACGATCGTAATGGGCTTTTTGTTAACTCTTGTTAATTCTTCGGAGTTTTTAAGCTCGCATTCAGGTTTTTGTAGATAAGCCTGTCTTTTTTTTTTACAACTATCTTTTAGCAGATATCGAGAAAAATGCGACAAATGTAACAAATATCTTTTTTTCCATCTGAATGGCAAAAGTATTAAAAAAGTGCCTGTCGACTGTAATACACCTGCGTAGACGGCAAATTAATTGCTGTTTAGCAATTGTGGACTGTTATTTTTCCAACATTTCTTCGATTCTAATAGTAAAAATATATTTCTTACGATACTTACTAGATTCGTCTTAATATATACTAAAAGATCGGTTTAAAAAAATTATTGGTTTATCTAAAAACTGAAGTGAATGAAGCGTGAACTTGGAAACTCTGAGAGAAAAGAAGAGACGATAAAAATGTATTATGATCATCTTAAATCTCTTTAATCGCCGTTAGCGATTGTATATCGCTAAC